ATTGATGGCGTCAAGTGTGGTGGCGGTAGTGAGGTTGGCCCAGGATCGGACATTGTTTCGTTCTGCTGTGCATGGGGTCGCTATGAGTCGGTTCCGACTCAATGGCACCTGACAACAACAACAACAATAGGATAAGCATTGGATTCCTACGGCAAGGTCCGCAGTTCACACCTACAAGTCACTCCTTGGAAACCCTATAAAGGGTGGCCCTGGGAACCGACTTGACACCTAACAACAACAACGTATAAAACAGTGGCCCTATAGGATAAACGCTGGACTGTTAACCACAAGGTTGGTTGTTCCAATCCACCAGTCATGAGGAAGGACATAAAGCTTTTAGTTCTCTTATTAAAGATTGACAGCTTTACAGCTTCAGAAATCCTATGAAGGGTAACTATGGAGTCCTGGTGTGGTGCTGTAGGATAAGCACTGGACCACAAAGTTAGTTTGAACCACAAGGTTGGCAGTTCAAACTCACCAACAGCTCCTGGAAGACATTATACTGGGTTGCTATGAGTCGGAACCGACTGGATGGCACTTAACAACAACCAGTCAAAATCCATTTCTATATTCTTAAGTGCCATGGAGGCCTTTCCGACTCAAAGTAATCCTGTGTAGGGTTTCCTATGAGTTTGAACTGTGGCTGGTGGGTTTGAACCAACCGCTGACCTTGCGGTTAGTAGTCCATGCTTATATTTTAGCACGCCACACCAACTCATAGCCAGAAAATGAGCCCCTCAAACTGGAAGGCACTCAAAATACAACTGGGAAAGAGCTGCCTTAGTTTTTAATTTTAATATTATCATTTAATTCCATTATGTCATAAACTTTTTGAAATTTGTGAAACATGGAATACATATATGGAGTCCTGGTGTGGCGCTGTAGGTTAGTTAATGAGCTGAACCATCCCACAGACATGTTGGTTTAATCTGAAAGGTTGGCAGTTCAAGCTCACCAGCTGCTCTTTGGTAACCCTATACAGGATCACTATGGGTCGGACCTGACTTCAGGGCACTTCACAACAACAACATATACATATGAAGCTCTCATAGCATAGGGGTTATGAGTCGGCTACTAACCTTAAGGTCAGCAGTTC